AGGGCTCTACATCAACTGGAATCGGAGTCTAAACCTCTGGGGAGTGACAGCATCACTAATGCGCGTGATGTCAATATCCTTCAGCACCTTCCCTGTATTGTCAAAGTGGGACATGAGTGGGACGTTCACAGCCTTGCAGAGGGCTGTGATCAAACAAGGGAATGGCAGTGAAGTGGCTGTCTGCCTTGCTCGGATCCCTAACTTTTGGAAGATAAGGGCTCCCACATCGATCTTGATTCCCGCCATAATGCATGCAATGAGAAGAGCCTTCTCAATGCTTATGTCAGTCTCATTTGTGGACAGTATCAGTCGAGAGGTGACAAAACTGAGCCAGAATCGACCCTCTCGTGTGAGATCCTCCTTGAATATTTTGTGCACAGGATTGATCCAAGCAGGGGTCCCCTTTGCTATCACATATGATATCCAACTCCGCTCATTCTCCCGGTTTACCCATTTGGCTTGGTACTCAGCTGTGCCCGGGCTCCAGTCAGGGATGTATAATTTATTAATAGTCTTAGCGCTGCAGCTCACATCTTTCCCCCGAACTAACACAGTAGCATAGAATACCCTGTTGCGCTTGTGGTGAGCAGTCCTGGAAGCTCCGTGTGAGGCATAAAACTCACAGACAAGGGTTTCATTGTAGTCATCCGGTAGCTCAGTGAAGCACTCCCATTTTCTAGCTTTTATGTTCTCCCAAATGTGGGGGTGTTGCTCTTTAAGTCCGTTCATGCTCACTTGTTTCTCGGCAAGGATTTTTCTCTTTGTTAGCCCTTCTCTATAGAGTTCCCTAGAACCATCGACTGCAAACCGGAGTTGGTAGTCCTCTCCCCTTTTCCTTCTTGCCTCTGCCTGTAGGTCTATTGAAGGCAAGGTCTCCTCCTCATCAGACTGGGAGGGACGAGGAACATTAGGGTTCGTTCTGGATCATTTTACTTGTGACGCTTGACGACCAGAGGATGCCCTTTTTAGTGCAGAGGATGCATGTTTCTTGGGAGCCATATCTGCACGAAAGTGAAATGTGAGCAACATTGTAAGCAACAGTGAAAAGAAAACAGGAAAAAAAACAAAGAAGAAGGTAAAAATGCGACAGGTATGCGGTCTCATAACCACTATGCGGACCACAAACTTGTCGCAGACTTGCAAGCTCTTGAAATGATCCAAGTATGCGATGGGTTGTGCGGACCGCATAATCATCACAAACCTGATTCCACAGAAAACCAAATCATGAAATGCGATCGCAAATTCCACCGCAAAGCAGGAAATGCGATCGCAAAATGGTCGCAAAAATCATGTTGTGAAACTGGGTGCACTGTGTCAGTATGCGGTGAGTTTTCGGTCCGTATATCAACTATGCGATCGCAAACTCGACGCATTTTATCATCTTCCTTAGCCAATCTAGGGTTCGTTATGCGGCAGAAATGCGGACCGCATTTTGATTTTGTGAACCGCAAATGTCACCGTTCCCAAATGATTAAACTAACCCTCAACAATGGCGGTCCTAATTCGTACTACCCAGTACCCCAAACATATTTTCTATCCAAAGACAACCACGATATGGGAAAACAGCTACTTACAAAACACAATCAAAAAAAAAGAAAGAAAAAAAAAGAAAGGAAATACAGGAGAAACAAATGCGAGATCGAAAATGAAAAATTAGGGCAAGGAAACATACCAGTGAAGATGAGCAAGCACACTAGGGAGATGAATTCTCAAGTGGTGTCATCCGTTATTAGATGTCACTAGCCGTTTTGCCCTTTCCTTTTCGGTTCTTTTTTTTTACTTTGTTTCCTTCTGTTAGAAAAAAATTTTCATTTTTTTGTTTTGTTTTGAATGTGTGAGAGATGAAAGGATGCGAAGACATACCTGACGACTTTTGCGGTGGATAAGTCACTGCATAACACACTATGTGACCGCACAAGTGTTATGCGGTGAGTTCAAGTGAGTTACTGAAGGGCAAAAATATGCGGTGCACTATCCAATCGCATAGTGAAGATGCGGTCCGCAAAGTGCACAAATTGTCGCATTTTTCTCATCAATTTTAGCCAAACACATTGTGTTGGTTTGCAACCAAAATGCGGTCCGCATAGTGAAAATGCGACCGAATCTGTGTAGCAAACTTCCCGCGGTGATTTTTCTTCCCTTTCTTATGCAATCCTACCCAGTGTTATGATCTTTTGAATCCCCTGCACTCAAACACACACTTTAAATTGCTCAAGTAAATCTATCTATCAAAAATCAGAAATTAAAGATTTAAAGAACAAAAAGGGGTTACCACACATGGGTTGCCTCCCATGAAGCGCTTGATTTAACATCGCGGCACGACGAAGTTGACATTCCCTCGGATTCACTCATCGGTCGGGCATGGACCATCTTTGAGAGCCAGCTGCTCCACCAAATGTCTTTCTCCATCTGTGCCCAAATAATGTTTGACTCGCTAGCCATTCACTTTGAAGGTTCGAAGCCCATCCTCCGATTCTAGTTCCACAGCTCCAAAGGAGAGACATTTACCACTTCCATTTTGATTTTAGCTTGCCCGGAAACAATTTGAGCCTTAAGTTAAAGAGCAAAACCAAGTCACCCGACTTGAACTCCCTCTTCAAGATCTTTTTGTCATGGACGAACTTCATCCTTTCTTGATACACAGCTGCACTTTCACATGCATGGAAACGGGATTCCTTCATTTCATTGAGTTGTGTTAACCTCAAATTTGCAGCTTCAGCCCAATCCAAGTTCAACCTCTTCAGAGCCCACATGGCTTTGTGTTCCAACTCTACGGGTAGATAACAGGCTTTTCCGAAGACTAACCGATAAGGAGAAGTACCAATAGGAGTCTTGTACGCCGTGCGGTACGCCCACAATGCGTCATCTAGCTTCCTTGACCAGTCGGTCCTGTTTGCATTAACAGTCTTTGCTAGAATGCTCTTGATCTCCCGGTTGGAAACCTCAACTTGACCACTAGATTGGGGAGGATAAGGTGTGGCCACCTTGTGCTTGATGCCATACTTCTCTAGTAGCCCCGTGAAAGCCTTGTTACAAAAATGAGACCCACCATCAGTAAGAATGGCTCTAGGAGTGCCAAACCGAGTGAATATGTTTTTTTTCAAGAATGCGATCACACTTCTTGCCTCGTTGTTTGGTAAGGAAATTGCTTCAACCCATTTGGACACATAGTCCACAGCTACCAAGATATATTTCATCCACAAGAACTCACAAAGGGACCCATAAAATCAATTCCCCATACGTCGAAGATTTCAATCTCCATCACAAAGTGCATTGGCATTTCATGCCTCTTGGAGATTGATCCTTGCCTTTGACATTGGTCACAGGCCTTGACCATTTGATTGGCATCATGATAGATTGACGGCCAATAGTAACCACATTCAAGCACCTTAGCCGCCGTTTGATTTCCTCCATGATGACCCCCAACCGGTGAGTCATGGCATGCCTTTAGAATTGGCATAATCTCATCTTCTGGAATGCACCTTCTGATAATATTGTCAGCATAAACACGGAACAAGAATGATTCCTCCCAATAGTATTGCCGACAGTCTCTCAAGAACTTCTTCTTTTGATAGGATTCCAATCCGTCCGGAATAAGGTCATTAACCAAATAGTTAGCAATATCGGCATACCAAGGAGCAAAAGTGCTAGATAGTGCCAATATGTGTTCATCCGGGAATGCATCGTTGATTTCAAGATCTCCCTTTGGTCTCCCTGCCTCTTCAAGCCTTGATAAATTATGCCACTTGATTTTGAGTTCCCTTGCGATCCTTGACCTCGAAGTCAAATTCTTGCAACAACAAGACCCATCGAATCAACCGAGGCTTTTCATCCTTCTTTGCCATGAGATAGTGAAGAGCGGCATGATCTGTGTACACTATCACCTTGGATCCCAACAAATAAGCCCGGAACTTCTCAAAGGCATAGACAATGGCAAGAAGTTCTTGCTCAGTTACCGTGTAATTCATTTGCGCCCCATTGAGTGTCTTGCTTGCATAATAGACCGGGTGGAGAACCTTGTTGTGACGTTGGCCAAGCATTGCTCCAATAGCTACACCACTAGCGTCACCCAATGAGCTCGAAAGGAAGAGACCAGTCGGGTGTGACAATAATAGGTGTCGTGGTGAGCCTTTGCTACAATTCCTCAAAGGCTTTGAGGCATTTCTCATCAAACACAAATTTGGCATCTTTCTCAAGGAGTTTGCACATAGGATTTGCAATCTTGGAAAAATCCTTGATAAAACGCCTATAGAACCCGGCATGCCCCAAGAAACTTCGAACACCTTTAACGGAAGTAGGTGGAGGAAGCTTGGAAATAATCTCGATCTTTGCCCGGTCAACCTCTATGCCACGTTTGGAAATTTTATGCCCCAACACAATGCCTTCATCCACCATGAAGTGACATTTCTCCCAATTGAACACAAGGTTGGTCTCTTCACATCTCTTAAGCACTTGTCTAAGATTGTTAAGACAATGCTCAAAAGAATCACCTACCACCGAGAAGTCGTCCATGAAGACTTCTAGAAAATCCTCTACCATGTCGGAGAAAATGGACATCATGCATCTTTAAAAAGTAGCCGGAGCGTTGCACAAACCAAATGGCATCCGGCTAAAGGCAAAAGTTCCATAGGGGCAAGTGAATATCGTCTTCTCTTGATCCTCCAATGCTATGTTGATTTGGTTGTAGCCGGAATATCCATCAAGGAAACAATAGAATGACCTTCCCGCTAGCCGATCAAGCATTTGATCAATAAAAGGCATAGGGAAATGGTCTTTGCATGTGGCACTATTGAGCTTCTGATAATCCATACACACCCTCCAACCGGTCACCGTTCTTGTAGGGATGAGCTCATTTTTCTCATTTTCAATTACGGTCATGCCTCCCTTATTCGGCACACATTACACCGGGCTCACCCAAGAACTATCGGCAATAGGGTAGACTACCCCGGCATCCAACCATTTGATGATTTCTTTCTTTACCACCTCTTGCATTGACAGGTTCAACCGTCGTTGATGTTCCACACTTGGTTTCGTTTCACTCTCCAATTGGATTTGTGCTCGCAAATTCCCGCGGGAATCCCACGGATGTCCGCGATTGTCCATCCAATGGCTTGCCTATGCTCCTTCAAGACTTCCAACAATTGTTCTACCTGCACATCATTCAACAGAGAAGAAACAATTACCGATAAAGTATCATTTGAGCCAAGAAATTTATACCTCAAGTGTGGTGGAAGTGGTTTGAGCTCTAGTTGCGGAGGTTCGATAATAGAAGTCTTTACGGGTGGAGTGGCTCTATTCTCCAAGTCGAGAGAGAGCTTTGCCAGAGCATAAGTGTAGGACCCAAGCCCCTCCAATGCATTCACCGATTCCATATACCCTTCCATATTTTCACCATCAAAGTTCACCAAAATAGCTGCCAATGCGTCGCCGAGGCATTGTTCTTCCATTTTCATTTCAACCGCATCCTCTACTTCATCAACAACATCGATCACCGAGATGCTTTCATACTCATGCAGTAGTTTCATACCCTTGCTTGCTTGGAATGTAACCTCTTCATCATTCACACGGAATTTGATCTCATTCCGTTCCGAATCCATTAGTGCTCTTCCAGTGGCCAGGAATGGTCTCCCCAAGATGATAGGGATCTCTTTGTCAACCGCACAATCAAGGATTACGAAGTCGGCGGGTAAATGAAATTTTCCCACCTTCACAAGTACATCATCAACAATTCCCACCGGTCGTTTGATGGAGCGATCGGCCATTTGCAATCTCATACTTGTGGGCCTTGGCATACCTAATCCTGCTTTCTTGTAATTGGCAAGAGGCATCAAGTTGATGCTAGCCCCATTATCACAAAGGGCTCTTGCAAAATCATGTGTCCCAATGGTACAAGGAATGGTGAAATCTCCCGGGTCTTCTTTCTTTTGAACGGTGGATGTTGCAATGATGGAACTAACCCGGTGAGTCACATTCACCACTTCATTTTTGGTGGTCTTCTTCTTGGTGATCAAATCTTTCAAATACTTAGCAAAACCCGGCATCTCTTGAAATGCTTTCACAAATGGAATATTCACCGATAATTGCTTGAGAATGTCGTAAAAATTTTCGAGTTTGCTATCATCAACCTTCCTAGCGAGTCTTTGAGGGAATGGAGGTCTAGGAATAGGTGGAAGAGTTTTTGGTGTCTCTTTTACCTTTTCCTTTACCTCTTCCCAGTTCTCTTTTTGCACTTGCACATCTTCCGGAATCTTCTCAATTTCGACAACACTTGGCTCTTCAACGTTAACCCCTTTCTCGAACTCTTCCACCTCAACCACTTGTTCACCCTCTCCTTGTAGTACCTTCCCACTCCGAGTAGTAATTGCCATGACATGAGAAGTTGGGCCACTCCCACTACCCTTTGGGTTCGCAATTGTGTCACTAGGGAGTGTTCCCTTTTGCTTTGGATTTTGTTCTCTAGAGAGGTCTCTCATTTGCATCTCCAATTTTTGAATGGATGCGGTATGAGAGCCAACAAGCTCGGTCGTGTTCCTCATAGAAGTGTCGGATTTTTCTTGATTTTGCAATACCCGTTCAAGCATACCTTCCAACTTAGACTCACTTGAGGAACCTTGATTTGAATATTGACCCTTCAGGGGAACATAAGGGTTTGAACTCCGGTTTGAGAAGTTGTTGTTGTTGTTCCAGTTTCCTTGGTTTGAGCCACCTTGGTCATTTCGCCATTGTTGGTGGCCTTGCCCTTGTGGGTTTGGCCTCCATTGATTTTGTTGTCCTTGACCTTGGTATTGTTGCCTTTGATAGACTCCTTGAGAGTTGTTGACATAATTTGCTTCCTCAAAATCCTCATTTGATATGGGTTGCACATCCTCAACCACATTTACCTTCTTCGTTTGGCTTTCGGTGAACATCTTTGTCAACACATTGATATTTGTAGCAAGCCCTGCAATCACTTGATCTCTCTCTTGATTTTCCTTGATCATGTTGCTCAAGGAAGGAGAACCATATGTAATTTCGCCTGTGGTGTCCTCGGAATGCCATGCTTGATTACGCTTTGCCATTTTGTCAAGTATTTGTGTCACCCTTGCGAATGATTTGTCCATGAAAGATCCGTCAGCTGCATTCTTGGCTATAGATTGGTTCATAGGATCCAAGCCCATGTAGAATTTTTCCAGCAAGATAGAATCCGGAAAACCATGGTTGGGAGACCTCACCAAATATAATTTGAAATGATCCCATGCCTCATGTAGATGTTCTCCCGTACTTGCTTGAAAAAGAAAATTTTATCCCGGAGCTCAGACTTCTTACTTTGCGGGAACCATTTAGATAAGAATGCTCGGACAAGTTCGGGCCAAGAATGAATGGAGTTTGGTGGCAGATTTTGAAGCCATTTCCTTGCGTCCCCAGCTAGAGAGTACTTGAATCATCTCAACCTTAGGGCATCATCAGAGACATTGTTCTGCTTATGCATCGCACACACACCCAGGAAGTTTCTAAGATGTTGTGTCGGATCATCTTCAGTGGAATTCCTGAAAAACCCTCCGCTTTGAGCATAAGGAATAAACCATGTTCCACCTTGAAAGTTGCAGCGCCAACGGCCGGAGGTACAATAGCATTTATATCCTCAATGTACTCCTCGATGTCCGCAAAAGGATTTTCTTCCATTTCTGCCTCTATGTCTTCACCATATTCGGACATGTTTTCCTATCAACACCAAGCAAACAAGGCAAATTGTGATGGAATAAAATAAGATGTAAAGTAAAGCACACACTAATTAGTAATTTCAAAACCGTGTTCCCCGGCAACGGCGCCAAAATTTGATACGCTCAAATTACACTTTAATAAATAGTGTAAGGCGATCGATGTCAAATATAATAACCCAACAAGGTTGGGGTCGAATCCCACAGGGAATAGGTGTGAAAAGGTTACTCAAATAGTGTGTTACTTGACTAAAGTCGTAATTCTATTTAGTTAATGGTAACAAGAGTATGAAATGATTTTGGTTTGAAGTAATGACTAATTGTAATGTTGAGAATGTAAATAATTTGATTAGAGAAACCAAGGTTGTGTACCCTTTAATGAGTGTAATGCTATCGGTGTTGATATGATATATTTCTAATGGAAGGTCCTTTTGATATGCAAATGATGTCTAAATGACTACCCAATATTTTTCAATAGTCGGGTAGTATTTCCTCTTTATGATTTTTCCAAATATAAAAGAGTTGTAATTAATAACAATCAATATATGCCAAATAAAAAACCCACTTATTCCTAAGCGGTTCTATTAAACAAGGTTTAAAGCCTTGAGTCTTTGATAATTACTTCTACCAAATTCTAACCCACTTTCCCAAGCAAAGCAAGAATTTAATGGCATTTGTTAATGTTTGCAACCACCAACAATAAATGAAGAATGAGAAGTAAATAAATATCAACCAACCATTATATATATATTCAATGTTAAACACCCATTAACATAACACCCATTTAGGGTCCACAACCTTAGTATTTGAAGTTAGCTACTCATACTAAAATACAAAAATAAGAGAATATTAAATGCCATAAAGCTTACAAAGTGAAAGATTCTTAACCCAAAAGCTTCCAAAAGAGAGGAATATTAAAGCCTTGTATTGTAGTCTCAAAGTCAGACAAGATGAGCCCACAAAACCCCAATTAAATCTATTTATAGAGGGCCAAAATTCGGGACAAAAACGGACAAAAATGCCCTTTCCGGTTAAATATGCGATCGCTATCTGTCGCATAACAGACATGCGGTCCGCATTCTCTTCATGCCCATCACACTTCAGAACCCTAGTTTCCAGGCCGTCGTCGCATTGTTGATTTGCGGTCCGCATTCCAGATATGCGATCGCATTTTGCGTCGCATTTTCCACCATCAGCATTTCGCTCCATGAGTTTGCGGTCCATTATGCGGTTGGCAAACCTGTTGTGCGATCGCATTCTGGACCGCATTTCTTGCACTGGACTTTGGCCAACATTCTGTTTTGGTTTGCGATCCTTTGCACATTATGCGGCTCGCATGTAGGATTTGCGATCGCATCTTAGACCGCATTTCCACATTTGTGCTGCATTTTGCTCTTTTCTTGTCTTTTTGTGTCTTTTTGCTTTTATTTCCATGCTCTTAGGTCCTTAAACCTCATGTACTGCAAAAACACTAAAATTACATAAGTATAGGAGATAATTGCATTCAAAACAAGCTATCTAAGCAATTTGCATTGAAATGTGCCGAAATTCTCCGGCACATCACATGACATCACGGGCAGGAAAGAGCAGGCCATCTATTATCTCAGCAAGAAGTTCACATCCTATGAGGTTAAGTATACCCCCTTGGAAAGGACGTGTTGCCCCTGACTTGGGTAGCACAGAAGTTGAAGCATTATCTGTCATCCTATACTACTTACCTCATTTCCCGCCTGGATCCTTTAAAGTATATTTTCCAGAAGCCTATGCCCACAGGAAGACTCACAAAGTGGCAGATCATGCTCACAGAATTTGACATCGTATATGTGACTCGGACGACGATGAAAGCCCAAGCTTTGGTTGATCTCTTGGCCGAGAACCCGGTGGATGAAGAATATGAGCCGTTGAATACTTATTTTCCTGATAGAGGTAATGCATGTTGAGGAGGTCGAGCAGGATGAGAAGCTCGGTTGGAAACTTTTCTTTGATGGGGCTGCTAACATGAAAGGTGTTGGGATATGAGCTGTGCTCATTTCTGAAACAGGCACCACTACCATGTCACAGCTCAACTTCGTTTCTATTGTACCAACAACATGGCTGAGTACGAAGCATGCATTTTGGGTTTAAGATTAGCTGTGGACATGGGAGTCCAGGAAGTGCTGGTTTTAGGAGATTCAGATCTGTTAGTGCACCAGATTCAGGGAGAATGGGAGACTCGAGTTTTGAAGCTCATACCATACCGACAATGCCTGCAGGATCTTTGTCAGTGGTTCAGATCAGTGGAGTTCAGGCATATCCCTAGGATCCATAATGAGGTTGCTGATGCCTTGGCTACCCTGGTGTCAATGTTACATCATCCAGATAAGGCTTATATCGACCCTTTGCATATTCAGGTCCGTGATCAGCATGTTTACTGTTACATGGTGGAAAAAGAACTCGATGGTGAGCCATGGTTCCATGATATCAAGGAATACATCAGGATGGGGGTATATCCAATACAAGCCACAGGCAATCAAAGGAGAATAATTCGACGTTTGGCAAGTGAATTTTTCTTAAACGGAGGAGTTTTGTACAAAAGAACTCCGGATCTCGGATTGTTAAGATGCATATATGCTAAGCAAGACGCGACTATCATGACCGAAGTACACTCGGGAGTCTGTGGGCCACATACGAGTGGGTATGTTCTGGCAAAGAAAATTCTTCGAGTGGGCTATTATTGGCTCACCGTGGAACGAGATTGCATCAGCTTTGTGCGTAAGTGTCATCAGTGCCAGGTGCACGGGGATTTGATCCATTCTCCCCCGTCTTAATTGCATACAATGTCCGTGCCTTGGCTGTTCGTTGCATGGGGCATGGATGTCATCGGACCAATTGAGCCAGCAGCATCCAATGGGCACAGGTTCATCCTGGTGGCCATCGATTATTTCACTAAGTGGGTTGAAGCTATGACTTTCAAATCTGTGACCAAGAAAGCAGTGGTTGAATTTGTTCATTCAAACATCATGCGTCAGTTCGGAATTCCAAAGGTACTTATCACGGACAATGACGCAAATCTTAACAGTCATTTGATGAAGGAAGTATGCCAGCAGTTCAAGATTATGCATCGAAATTCCACTCCGTATTATCCCAAGGCAAATGGAGCGGTTGAGTCAGCCAACAAGAATATAAAGAAGATACTTCGAAAGATGGTGCAAGGTTTTAGGCAATGGCATGGAAAGTTACCGTTTGCTTTACTGGGTTATCGCACTACTTCAGTAGGCGCGACTCCTTATTTGTTGGTATATGGTACTGAAGCAGTGATACCCGCGGAGGTTGAGATTCTATCCCTTCGAATTATTGCTGAAGCAGATATTGATGATGATGAGTGGGTCAAAACCCGGTTGGAGCAATTAAGTCTGATTGATGAGAAAATATTGGCGGCAGTATGTCACGGCCAATTGTATCAAAAGAGAATGGCAAGAGCATACAACAAGAAGGTGCGTCCTCGAAAATTTGAAGTGGGTCAGTTGGTATTGAAACACATCGTTCCATATCAGGCGGAAGCAAAAGGCAAGTTTGCCCCAAATTGGCAGGGGTCGTTCGTGGTAACGAGAGTGTTGTTCAATGGTGCTTTGTATATAACAGATATAGAAGGCAAGTGTGTAGACATGGCTATCAATTTTGATGCGGTCAAAAGATATTATGTATAATTTCTTTGGTTTAAATTGTGTTCATTTGTACTTGGCATGTTTTGAAGATTGAAATGACGAAGCCATTTTATTCTGCTATCCAAATACTTTATCCTTTGCTACCCTTTGAGCTTTATTTGTTTTCTTTCATACCCCTCTTTTGGAATCAGTAGCAAAGTTCAGAAACACAGATACAGAAAATAAATAAAGAAGAGAAAAGAGGAAAAAGAAGAGGAAAGAGAAAAGAAACTGAAAAAAAAGAGAAAAGAAAGGAAAGAAAAAAGAGAAGAAGAAAGTACAAAACACAAAACAACTCATATGTCATGAACTACGTTCGACCTGATTCCTTTTAAGGATATGTAGGCAGCCTCACGGTTCGGTCCCATCAAAATAAGAAATGTAAAAGCCCCCGAGCAAAGAAACTGGGTAGAAGTTGCGATTTTGTAAAAGATTTGATTCCAAAAGTTATAATTTTGAACCCATTCGAGTTGTTTTGAGCCTTTATGATATCCTTTCTTTCTAACCCTATCTAAAAACCCATATTACGGTCCAAAGAAAGACCTTCCGATCAATCTTCGAGGGGTGCCAAATCAAGCAAGTAGAGGCATGATTCATATCAGGGGCAACACTCTGTTCTACGCAGGAAAAATGAACAAATGAGAGAGTCATATTGGTGAAAACCCTCACGGGCACTGTAAGACGACGGAAAGCTAAGAGAAATTAAAATGAGAGAGTCTTATAGGTGAAAACCCTCACGGGCATCGTAAGGCGACGGCGAGTGAGAGATGAACAAAT